AGCAGGAACCAAATAAAATTAATCTTTACAACATGAATCTCTTTTTCATGGCATGACCAGTAAGCACAGTGATGTCTGACTAAGGACAGCACTGACATCAAATTTTATTAGATAGTATGTAGGGAAGGCCTGTGTGCTACTTGGAATGTTATTTGGTCCTTCCTCCACTCCTTTGGAGAGTACATGAGGATGCTCTTAGGTAAAGTGCAGCCACACGTTTTCAAGTTATTTCAGTCTGTAGGGTAGGCTGTGATGCACAGAATGAATTGAAACTGGAATCTTCTTTCTTTGATCTCTTCTACATTTCACACACTTTGAAATAGAAATAGGGAAATATGATTGAGGGAAATATGATTTCCCAATTCTGTTGAATAGATTTAGGAAGATAGTGGCCTCATTTTTAATTTTACCAGTGCCTGTCAAAGGCAATAGAATAAACACTATGTAAAAGAGCATGACAAGTTTTTTTTGCAAGTTTAGTTGACAGCCTAATCAAACTGTAACTATAATGACAAATAGAGGTTCTGGGCACCAACTCACTAATTGGTGCCACGTTTTCATTCTTCTTATTACTTTTTAAAGTTTTTATTTTATTCCCTTTTCATATCTTTAAGTATCATTAGTATGAATTTAATTTTGAAGGAAAGTTAGAGAAGCTTTAAGATTTTACTACAGGTATTCAACCCGCCTAGATAGGTCCTCAACTGACACTGGAAAACAACAAGGTATAGAGTATAGTTCATAACTATTCCTTACAGTTCACAGTTTAAGAACAAACTTAACTTTATATACAAATAATAATTTTTAACTAATTGTATTTAGTTGTTGCTTTAGCAACAAACCTACAACATGGCTACCTTTAGACATTTTTTTGTGCGTGAAAATTTTACTTGTAAACTCTGTGTGGTTTTTGACAGTGTGAGCATATGTAGCAGATACAGCTCAAAGCTCAGAAATAGATATGGTGGATTTTTCTTTTTAATCCAAATTCCCACGTGAAAACTGAATTTGTGTCCTTGTGTGACTTTTTTGAGCAAAAAAGTTTACAACATCTGGATTCTAGAATCAGGCTTTAGAGCTGATAGAATTTGTTGTGTGGATAGGGTTATTCCACAGTATTTAGACTCCAAAACACAATCGTATTTATAATATGCCCCGATCTCTTTCCATAACCTTACTTATTCAGAATCATTCTATTCAAGTGGCATAGCTGTAGCTACAAAAACTCTCTTTTACAAATCTATCCAAATGAGGGTTAAAGAATGACAAAAGCACAGATTAAATTAATTCATCTTTGTGAAACCATCCATACAGATACTGTGGAATGACCTCATAACAGTGTTGAAGAGACATATGCTGCAGTTAACTGATGGTCTCAGTTAGGGTGCGAACGTGTGAGACACACCTTTTTTGCACTTGTGTACATAGTCCATGAGAGCGATCCTTGGAGCTTTTTTTTTTTTTTTGATATAAGAAGTCTGTGATAATAGTGGAAAAGTTAGTAAGAGAGTTATTTCTAAGGCTTTGAGAAGAAGGGTTTGTTTTTTGTTTTTTTTTTTGCTACAAGACTTAACTAAAACATGATGTTGCTTTGCTGTTGTGGAGGCTTTCTAGTTTGCTAGGGCTCGTCATAAGACAAGACTGGTTACAGGTTAACAGGTCAACTTGAGCTAACGGCACTAAACAAAAGTTAAGGTACTTCAGCTTTTAGCAAGATTGCTAGCAGAGATCGTTTGTTTTTAAATTAATCCTTAATTTTACCAGTGCCTGTCAAAGGCAATAGAATAAACACTATGTAAAAGAGCATGACAAGTTTTTTTTGCAAGTTTAGTTGACAGCCTAATCAAACTGTAACTATAATGACAAATAGAGGTTCTGGGCACCAACTCACTAATTGGTGCCACGTTTTCATTCTTCTTATTACTTTTTAAAGTTTTTATTTTATTCCCTTTTCATATCTTTAAGTATCATTAGTATGAATTTAATTTTGAAGGAAAGTTAGAGAAGCTTTAAGATTTTACTACAGGTATTCAACCCGCCTAGATAGGTCCTCAACTGACACTGGAAAACAACAAGGTATAGAGTATAGTTCATAACTATTCCTTACAGTTCACAGTTTAAGAACAAACTTAACTTTATATACAAATAATAATTTTTAACTAATTGTATTTAGTTGTTGCTTTAGCAACAAACCTACAACATGGCTACCTTTAGACATTTTTTTGTGCGTGAAAATTTTACTTGTAAACTCTGTGTGGTTTTTGACAGTGTGAGCATATGTAGCAGATACAGCTCAAAGCTCAGAAATAGATATGGTGGATTTTTCTTTTTAATCCAAATTCCCACGTGAAAACTGAATTTGTGTCCTTGTGTGACTTTTTTGAGCAAAAAAGTTTACAACATCTGGATTCTAGAATCAGGCTTTAGAGCTGATAGAATTTGTTGTGTGGATAGGGTTATTCCACAGTATTTAGACTCCAAAACACAATCGTATTTATAATATGCCCCGATCTCTTTCCATAACCTTACTTATTCAGAATCATTCTATTCAAGTGGCATAGCTGTAGCTACAAAAACTCTCTTTTACAAATCTATCCAAATGAGGGTTAAAGAATGACAAAAGCACAGATTAAATTAATTCATCTTTGTGAAACCATCCATACAGATACTGTGGAATGACCTCATAACAGTGTTGAAGAGACATATGCTGCAGTTAACTGATGGTCTCAGTTAGGGTGCGAACGTGTGAGACACACCTTTTTTGCACTTGTGTACATAGTCCATGAGAGCGATCCTTGGAGCTTTTTTTTTTTTTTTGATATAAGAAGTCTGTGATAATAGTGGAAAAGTTAGTAAGAGAGTTATTTC